TACGTATACAACTTAATTTGAATAGACATTGGTAATTTCATTTCAGAGTTATGGGACATTGGTGATCCAAATTGCGTCTATCATTTTTGTGAAGCACTTTTTGGTACAAAGAGAGGTTTGAATGGAGTTCTTCAAAAAAAAACGAAATATTCCCTTTGTTGCTCACAGAGTAAGGTACAACTTCCGATCAACAAGAACCGCCGATGTTGCTGCAAAGGTTGATTGATGGAACAGATGCTAGAAGCAAGCACTTTCTAGAAAATATAAGATCGTACAATAGCATGTTCGCGTTCACATCGATGGGTGGCCGGATAGAAACGACGATTAACAAAGGAAGGTCTCTCCCAGTTTTTAAACTTCATGATCAAAACTATCACCTTATTGGAAGTTTAATGCCCACAGTTGGATCGACTCCAAAATTTGCACAGTTGTATATCTACGATACAGAAAATGAGATACAAAACCGGATCAAATCTGTCAGGTAACTTTTGTGCAACAATTTTAATTTCTTATGGTGGTTGATTTGTGAAGATTTCTAAATTTATAAACGAGGATTGGTTTAATTTCTTCAGGGGTTGCTGATACAGATCAATTACATGCTGAGATTGTTGAGGACTTAACAAACATGTTGAATGAGCACAATGTGTTGGTCAGATCATTTAGAGTGGCTAGAGAAAACGATTCATCAAGGTGAGAGTTGTGACGTGATGCTAAGGTTGATAGGTAAACGAAGCAGCGATGCAAGAACGTATAACCTACCAACTGTATCAGAGGTTGTTGCTTTAGTTGTGGGGGATTTTGATGAGTCTATGGGAGAGAGAGATTTTGGCGGAGACCCAGAGCGGAAAGCTACAACGCATCAATGAACTTAATCCAGCTTATTTTGGCTTGCAATATCCTTTGTTATTTCCATTTGGTGAGGATGGTTACCGAGAAGATATTGCACTTTCAGGTTCTAGGATTGTGATTGGCTCAGGCAGACGTAGTGTTAGTATAAGGGAGTTTTTGGCTTATCATTTGCAAGAGAGGGAATGTAGATATTCCACTATTTTGAAAGCTAAAAGACTTTTCCAACAATTTGTTGTTGATGACTACACTTTGATAGAGGCTGCAAGATTGAAGTTCATTAGAACACATCGAAAGCAACTCCGTTGTGAAATGTACAAGGGTTTAAATGACGTGATTTTGCATGTGGAGAATGATCCTGCGACTCAAGGAAAAAGAATCGTGTTACCCCCAACCTTCACTGGTGGTGCAAGATGCATGATACAAAACTACCAAGATGCGATGACAATTTGTAGATGGGCGGGGTATCCAGATTTATTTATCACGCTGACATGCAACCCAAAGTGGCCTGAGATTGAACGTTTTTTGCGTGATAGGAATTTAAAGTCTGAAGATCACCCAGATATCATATGTCGAGTATTTAAGATAAAGTTGGATGGTCTTATGAAAGACTTGCGACGTAACAAAGTGTTTGGTTGTGCTAAAGCAGGTTCATTTCAAATTGAACATACATCGATTATTACGACTATTAAATGTCATAGTGATTTTTAAAATTGCCTTTTGTAGTGGTTTACACTGTGGAATTTCAGAAGAGAGGATTGCCTCATGCACATATTTTATTGTGGCTAGCAAGTGAGGATAAATTGCCAACTCCGTCAGACATTGATAAGGCCATCTCAGCTGAAATCCCCGATAAAGATAAGGACCCGCAATATTACAATGCAGTTCGTGATTTTATGATGCACGGACCGTGTGGTCTATATGTTAACTCTGCTCCATGTATGGTTGATAGGAAGTGTACGAAGCATTTCCCTAAGAGTTGGTGCAACGTTACGTCCGTTGACGGTGATGGATATCTGGTGTATAGACGAAGGGATGATGGTAGAACAATTGAGAAGAATAATATTCCCCTTGATAATAGATTTGTAGTTCCGCACAATCGTTTTTTGTTGATGAAATATGGCGGTCATATCAATGTGGAGTGGTGCAACCAACCCCGATCCATCAAGTACTTATTTAAGTACATCAATAAAGGACGTGATCGTGTCACTGCAGGTTTTTTAATAGTGCAAATGCAGATGAAAGGAGCAAATCTGTGGATGAAATCAAAATGTATTACGACTGTAGGTACATATCTTCGTGTGAGGCTGCATGGCGTATATTTGGATTTGAGATTCAATATAAAAATCCACCAGCTGAACGCCTTAGTTTTCACTTGCAAGGAGAGCAAACAGTGATCTTCTCCGACAACGAGCCTCTTGATTCTGTAGTAGCTGGGAGGAGTGTTAAAGATAGCATGTTTTGGGGGTGGATGGAAGCCAACAAAAAATATGAGATGGCGAGACAAATGACATATGCTGAGTTTCCTCAGAAGTTTGTATGTAAAAGTGGTACAAGGGAATGGGTGCCAAGAAAGCAAGCATTTTCGATTGGTCGGATATACTATGTTCCACCAGGATGTGGGGAGTCATATTATATGAGGTGTTTACTGAACCATATTAAGGGAGTGACGTGTCATGAAGATTTGAGGACTTTAGGCGGTGTGTTATATAATACATATCGCGAAACTTGCTACGCTTTGGGGCTTCTAGACGACGATAAAGAATTTGTTGACGGTTTTACTGAAGCAAGTGATTTTGCAACATCATTTGCACTAAGGATACTCTTCATCATATTGTTGTGGTCGGAATCCATGAGTCGGCTGGAATTTGTTTGGGAGAAGTGTTGGATATACATGGCAGAAGATATTCAGTACAAATTACGTAAGAAATATCAACATCCAGGTATATTAGTACTGCTATTTTAATATCTATCATTAATATGTACTATTTGTTCTCTGCGTTGATTTGAGTAGTGATTGAAATCACATTCCAATATTTCATGCCATGCAGGGTTCGTAATGGATAATGACCAATTGCAAATGGCGGCATTGACAGAGGTGGGGATGTTATTGCAACGACGAGGGAAGAGTTTACGTGATTTTCCTCCAATGCCATATCCGAAGTCAGACTCAACTTTATTTTCCAACAATAGATTTGTTGAAGAGGAGCTCCAATATGATCGTCAAGCGATGCATCAAGAACATAATACATTGCTTCAAGGTCTAACAAATGAACAACATGTTCTTTATGAAAAGATCATGCATTCTGTTGAAACGGAATGTGGAGGGATGTATTTTGTTTATGGATATGGTGGGACTGGGAAAACGTTTGTATGGAGAACTTTACCTGCTGCATTGAGGTCCAAAGGGGACATTGTATTAAATGTAGCATCAAGTGGCATTGCTTCTCTGGTACTACCCGGAGGGAGAACCGCACACTCGCGTTTTGCAATTCCAATCAGTTTGAATGAAGATTCAACTTGCAATATAAAGCAGGGTAGTCCTTTAGCAATACTATTTACTAAGTGTAAATTAATAATTTGGGATGAAGTTCCAATGCTCCACAAATTTTGTTTTGAGGCATTGGATAGAAGTATGCGTGATGTCCTCAGGTTCACCCACCCAAATAGCTTAAACTTACCATTTGGTGGTAAGACAATTGTTTTGGGAGGAGACTTTCGTCAAGTTCTACCGGTGATCCCACAAGGAAGTAGACAAGACGTTGTTAATGCAACAATTAATTCATCTTATCTGTGGGGGGAATGCACTGTTCTTAGATTAACTAAGAACATGAGACTCCATAATGTCAAAAGTCCTGCAGAATCTTATGATTTGAAGGTTTTTGCCGATTGGATTGCAAGCATAGGTGATGGTATAGCTGGGGATTTAAACGATGGTTGTGTCTCTATTAAAATACCCGATGACATCCTTATCAAGTACACCGGGGATCCAATTGCTAATATAGTGGAGGTCATTTATCCCGATTATCTAAAATCAAGTACAGGTTTGAGTTACTTGAGAGATAGAGCAATTCTTGCTCCGACCCTTGATGTCGTTGATTCTATCAACGACTACATGACAAGTTTGAATTCGAAGGAAGTTGCTAGAACATATCTTAGTTGAGATAGTGTTTGCAAATCTGATTCAACACATGATCTTATAGCAGAGTTGCACACTACAGAATTCTTGAATAGTATTAAACTCTCTGGTGTGCCAAATCATAAGTTAACTTTGAAAGTCGGTACCCCAGTCATGCTTTTACGTAATATTGATCACTCAATGGGTTTGTGTAACGAGACAAGACTCATCATAACAAAGATGTGTGATCACATCTTAGAGGGAATGGTCCTCAATGGTATGAGTACAATGACAGAAAGTCTTAATACCGCGATTATCTTTGACACCGTCAGATGTTAGGCTGCCATTTAGATTTCAAAGGAGGCAATTTCTTATTATGGTTTCTTATGCAATGACCATCAATAAAAGTCAAGGTCAGTCTCTCACTCACGTCGGTCTCTTATTGAGAAAACCGATTTTCAGCCATGGACAATTGTATGTTGCTGTGTCAAGAGTTACCAATCGTGCATGTCTCAAAATCCTCATCCAAAATGAAGATGATTGTCCGATAGATGAAACCATGAATGTTGTATATAAAGAAGTGTTCCATAATTTGTAATATTTCATCATTTCATTTCATTTTCATTTACTCCAGTGCCGCAAAGGATCCCACCTACGGTGGGGTAAGGGGGGTTGGATGTACGCAGTCTTACCCCTGTACTAAAGCACATAGAGACTGTTTCCGGATGACCCATAGTGAAAATCCCGTCCAAAATTGCATGGACTGACTGCTGCTTCATAACAAAGAAGCGCAGACAGTTTAGTGAGTCATCTTGCTTTATTCCATCATAATCTCAAGCCAAAAAATAATGAATCTTTGGCTCCATTGAAAATGATGGAAAGAAATTTGTAATATTTCATATTGTATTAAATTAACATCACATATTACAATTTCATTTCTTAATCGTCACATTTTATAATATTCAACTTCCTTTCCAATTAGACTTTAATGTCTAATAGTAATGATACCCATGCAACAAACTCATACACCTTTCATCGCACGTGTGCTGTACCAATTTCATCCGTGGCCAACTTGCATTCACCTCCGCGGCTGTCGTGGCGGAAACTAGGGTTTAACGGCCTGCCCGATCTCAGAAGTCACAATCAGCCTTCGCTGCGCTAGACTGGGTTGGGTTGTGGCATTATGTTTCCTACCTCATTTATCTTCGCCTCCCTCCAGCGTCAGAGCCGCCGGGGCTTCTTTCCCACAATCTTCTGTCGCCACCACCCTCACAACAGGTTCCTTTCAACCCAAGTGGAATACCCACTGACACACCCCACTTACGCTATATGGGCCGCTAATACATCTCTCGGGAAAACTCTCGTCTCTGCTGGCCTATCCATATCCTTCCTCTCGGCTCCAGATAAGAAATTCATTTACCTGAAGCCCTTCCAGACTGGATTTCCTCTGGATTCCGACTCCCGCTTTGTTTACCAAAAATTCACTGAGTTCGTTTCTCTGCACCGTCCTGGATTCTCTGTTCTTGCTTCTGACCATGTCCTCCGAGCCTCTGGTCCGGCATCCCAGGAGCTTTTGAACAAGACTTACGGTGGCGGATTTGTGAATCTGGACTGGCACGAAAAGAAGTTGTTGGGGAATGGGGATGGATTGGACGTCCCAGAGCTTGCTTGTAAGACACTGTATGCCTGGAGAGAGGCTTTATCACCTCATGTGGTTGCAGAGAAGGAAGGAGCTCCGGTGGATGATATTGAATTGTTAGAAAAGCTGAAAGGCTGTTTAAGAGTTAGTTCAGAGACATGGGTTCACCAGGGTGGAGCAAATGTGGATATGATGTGTGTGATTGAGACTGCTGGGGGTGTTGCCAGTCCTGGTCCCTCTGGTTCACTCCAATGTGACTTGTACCGGTCTGTAACCATTTGATGCCCTTTTCAGATTCTGTGCATTTTATTTTTGCAGTTTTTGTATGAGATACTTTCACAATGAAACAAGGCTTACAGTACTCTGACTGGTGTTTGATCCCTATACATGCTTCTGCAGGCCTTTTCGTTTGCCAGCAATTCTTGTTGGGGATGGGAAACTAGGTGGTATTTCTGCAACAATTTCTGCATATGAGACTCTAAAGCTTCGTGGTTATGATGTCGTTGCTATTGTCCTTGAAGACCATGGCCTTCTAAACGAGACGTCACTACGTTCATACTTGAGGGAGAGGTAAAGGATTTAAAATGAATCTTAATTCCACACTTCTATATATTATTTAGAAGAATATGCTCTTATCCTTAGTTGAAAAATACATTTCTTAACATATTATTTATTCAAAAGAATCGTTGACATCATATATGCACACACATATGTATATGTGTATATATACTATACCATTGAATTGTAGTAAACTCATTCTTAAATGGTCATTAATTTTAATAGATCAAAGTACCTAACCATTCATCACATCAATTTGAAGGGTACCGATGCTTTTGTTTTCATGGAAAGAAAACTTTTAATTGAACCAGAGTACCAGACTACCTGAGTATATGTGTGTTTGATCATGTCTGTATGTATATATGTATATATTTTCATACATATATGTACAAATATATATACATATATGTGTGTGTATGCATAATTGCATATAAATGTATATATATTTGTATGTATGTTTGTCTATGTATAAGTCAATATATATATATATATATATGTATGTATGTATGTATGTAGGGGTGAGATCACATACAAACCATGCTTAACTTACTAACCTACAAACTCAATAACATGCAACACTTTGAACTTCAATATGCAGTACAAATAATGTAAAGATACACTCTTTGAATTTCAATATGTAATACAAATAATGTAAATATGAAACTGTTATTTTATGGCTTGAATAATATGATACACTTTGAACTTCAATGTGCAATACAAATAATATAAAGATGAATAAAATGGGAGGATTAGTTTGTATGTGATCTCACCCCTGCATCTTTACATTATTTTTACTGCATATTGAAGTTCAAAGTGATGCATGTTATTGAGTTTGTAGGTTAGTATTTTAAGCATGGTTTGTATTTGATCTCTTATCTATGTATGTATATATATATATGTACATATATTTTTATGTGTGTGTGTGTATGTATGCATGTCTATATTTGTTTGTATGTATGTGTATACACACACACATTTATACATGTAAAATAAAAATGCATTTCATGAATGGGCTTGCTACAATAATGTTATAAATGTGTGTATATATATATGTTCATGTTTGTGTATGTATATATTTATATTAAAATAAATATTTTATTGATAGGTTACATATATACAAATATATTATGTATAGGTATGTGTATATGTATACACAAACACATATCAAGTCAGGCACATACAATTTTAACCAAAAATTACTTCACCAGTCCAATATTTTTTTTTGCTTAGGTAGTACTGCAGTATCAACTATCAAGTGATTCACGTTTTAACTATTAGTTTCAACAATTAGATCATTTCAACAATTCCGTTTTACTGAAGATTACTCCAATTCTAAAGGTGTAATAATCTTAACCCTTAGATAAATTCTAAATGAGAGAAAGTGTGTTTCTAGTGTCCACCATTGAACAAATCGAAAATCTAATAGTTCAAATTAGTAGTTGATAATAATGATAAAAAAATCTTACCTGAAGTGATAAAAGATGTCGTCCTTGCCAAATAGTGTTCTTGACATGAATACTCCTTGGTGTGTGTGTGTGTGTGTGTATTCCATTATAATATCCTTGCTGCTTATTAACATTCAAAATGCAGAAAGTAAAAGAAAAACCAGGTTAAATAAGATATCAAAAGGTTGAAAAATATTTTACTTTCTTTGGCATGCAGCATCCCAGTGCTTGTGCTTCCACCTATACCGCAAGAAATGTCGAATGATCTTATGGAATGGTTTTATCAATCCCAGGTTGTCTTCAGTTGTCTTCTGGAAATAATGTGCTTAACATCTCATAGAAGAATACAACGACTGCATTACATGCCAAAGAAGGGTCGCAAAATTTTCTGGTGGCCTTTTACCCAACATAAGCTTATATCTGAAGAACATGTTATGATGATTGATTCACGCTGTGGTGAGAACTTTGCAGTGCACAATGTCTGTGGTCTTGTAAGTATTTGATGCATAAAGACTTCTTTTGATACTGCATTTTTCTCTTCATTATATTTGAGAAGCACTATTATGACTTATGATAATGGAGTCTTGCTGTGGTGAGGCTTTGCAATTCTAAAGGCTCTAATTGTGTATTCATATTTATTGAAAAAGTGCTTTTCATCAATCATCATTGCCCATATGTATATTCTTCTGAAATGGCCAAAGCTATTTTTGGGGCACAGTCGCATACATACTTCAAGTCCACCCAGGCCCACATCGTCCTTCCTGACAGAGCTTCATGCGTCTTTTGATGGGTAAGCTCACACCCAGACACACTCTGATTCTCATTGAAGCCTTTCATGCACCACCAAACTTATGGATCAGCACGAAACACCAAACGGAGTTCCCAATGCCTGCACGCCTTCTTGATCATGAAGTTGAAGGGAGTGTTATGTCCAGAAATCTGCATGAGAAAGCGGAACATCCTTTGGGAGATCCATTGCTTCCATCTGCTTTTGACAAACCAAGAATTATTCAAATGACCACAGGCCATTGAGCAAAATCCTGTGATGTTATCCTCATGACAGAATTGAACCAAGAAACTCCCCGACCCCAGATCATCGATGCCATTATTTTGCCCCACACCAAACAAACTCTCAATCACCAGATTATCGTGAAAGCTGCAAACTTGAATGGTTGTTCCTTCAACAACCTACCAAGTGCCGCAAACTGTTACAAATTGCCGCTAGCCCGTCGATGATCCCAAGTCGATGATCGTGGACACGAGCTCGCCCTTTTCCTCGTTGTTAAAGGCCAAATCTCCCAATATCTTTATTGATGCTATAGCATTATTGAAGCCATACCAGAACCCACAACTGAATCCTGTTGCTTCACCCCGGAAGATCCCAATCCGACTGCCTGCGGTGCTGGAAACTGATAGGAACCCATTAGTATAATAATACTAATAAGAATAGAAGTATATTAAATAATGGTGATAGTGTATTAAAGGGTCCTGGGCCAAGTATTAGTTAGTTTTGGGCTGACCCATAAGTAAGTATAAATAGAAGGGAGGGAGAAATAAGAAGGTAGGCAGATTTTGGATTTGGGATTATGTTAGGGACCTGGTAGAATAAGAGTAAATAAGAAGAGTAATAGCTAGAGTAGTATAAATAGAATAGACTGGGGGAAATAGAGGAGGGGGGTTTAGACTCATTTGGTCTGGGACTGGGAAGTTGGAGTATTATCTCCTTCTTTGGGACCTTGTAATCTGTTTTCCGTCATTAATGGAGGTTTACTGTTTTCTATGAATTGTTTTCCCTTAAACTGTGATTGTTATTCGTGTGGAGTTCTAACAGTATGTTAGGGACCTGGTAGAATAAGAGTAAATAAGAAGAGTAATAGCTAGAGTAGTATAAATAGAATAGACTGGGGGAAATAGAGGAGGGGGGTTTAGACTCATTTGGTCTGGGACTGGGAAGTTGGAGTATTATCTCCTTCTTTGGGACCTTGTAATCTGTTTTCCGTCATTAATGGAGGTTTACTGTTTTCTGTGAATTGTTTTCCCTTAAACTGTGATTGTTATTCATGTGGAGTTCTAACAGTGGTATCAGAGCACGACGATCTCTGGATGAGACCAACTCGTGCTAAGATGGACGGAAGAATGACAGAAGTAGAGAGGAACTTGACTGATATGGCCAGAAGCTTGAGAGAAACTGCAGCAAGGCAAGATAAAATGGAGACGACGATGGCCGATATGCAAGTTAGCATCGCGGAAATACAAAATAGACTTGAAGGTGGTTCGAAGAGTCGATCACATCATACAAATTCTTCGCAAGGTTCGCGTCGCAGAGGACTTGGAGAACGATCGGGGAAGACTAGGCACCTTCCGATATCTGACACACACAAATCGTCGCAGTCGTTCAACACTTCACATACAGAGTCGCAAAATACTTCTCTTGGTTCGCTCTCGCGAATCTCTTCTCACTGTTCTCAGTCGCGAACAGTTTCTCTCCCTTCGCAGACTGACTCAGCGGCTATTAAGTCACGTACAAGAAAGACCCGAGTGAGAGGAGAATCTTCATCTTCATCGTCGGACTATTCTTTCAGTCCACAAGCATCTTCGCTTACGGAAACTCACAAATCGTCATCGCAAGCCATTTCTATCAGTCATTCGCAGGTGTATTCGCAGTCACCAGATTCTTCCATATCTGAATTGCCGAGTTCGCAAGTTTCTCAACTTGCTAAAGATTTCTCGCAGTCAATAAATAAGACTGGGATGGAGCCAACCGAATCTGTAATCAAGAAAATAAATAAGAAGGACGAAATCGAGAAGCAAGGACAGACTATCCAATGGCAAGATTATGTTTCTCCCAATCTTGCAGACGATATGGATTTAATTCCCAACCAAGTTTTTATGGTGGATCTGCTTATCCACCCATGTTTCTTTGGCAGTAGAGTTCTAATGGTTTCTGAAATTGGATTTCCTAAAATCAAGGACATTACAGAAAATAAAACTGTTCTTGTAAAAAGACAACAACCTCAATATCCAAAGGAAATGTTTTCAGAAAATTTAGGCCTGGAACAAAAGAGGTCGGGGCCAGAGGTTCATAAGGATCATGTTTATCTTTTTTCTGAAGAATCTGCTATCATCTGGGGAAACCGCACACAGATTCAGGATGCTGATAAGTCTAGCCATGCCCAACACCTTGAAATACAAGAAGCAGAATTGCAACCATGGGTTGAGAGCATGTTAGACTACTCCAAGCTTGACTTACATACTCAATTTAAAGCAACTGAAAGTCATCTCATGTGGGGAGACATATCTGCAAAGACAGCTGGAGCAATGACCCCTTCCCTCACTCGTAACAACCCCTTCAGTGGATATGTTTTGAATGGTCTACATATCACTCCATCTGCCACTGTAGTGGTAGTAGATGCAGCATCTTATGGCGTTCTGAGGCAACATGCTGGGAATTTTGTTGATGATGATCAACCCAAAAAGTTTATATTGGAGCAGTCCCATGATTTTTCAAAGAGTTTAAATAGATATCCTATTGTGCAGACTGGTTTAATTATTGAAGTTGGAAATCTTGTTGAGGCATGTATGTCAGTACTTGGAAAATTTATGGACACCTTCCTAGAGCTTCCTAGAGAATTACTGATAATGGTCATGCAGAAGCACCAGAAATACTTTGCAGTGACTAATGAGAATAGGGATTGGCTGCCATACTTCATTACTGTTACAAATGGAGCAATTAATGAAATGATGGTGATAGAAGGAAATGAAGCTGTACTTAGAATGGGGATCCACAGAATTATGACTGAGGCATTTGGTGCTGAAAGAGTTGGTTTTGTATTCTCAGGCACTAAATTTTGCTTGGTTTCAGTGTTGCATCACACTGGCCCAGAGGTTCAGGGCATGAACATAAATTTCAACAGAAATATTCTATGCTGCAGAAAAATTTGGGAGTTGGAAAGATTATGTACTAAAACTCTTTGCTCTGAAACCAGTGAGATATTGGGAAGGTAGAAACGCCAGGAGGAAGAGGAAGCATAAGATTGTGGCTGTTTCCTATCGCCCACCTTGAGGGCAAGGTGGTTGTTTAGGGGGGGAGATATGTTAGGGACCTGGTAGAATAAGAGTAAATAAGAAGAGTAATAGCTAGAGTAGTATAAATAGAATAGACTGGGGGAAATAGAGGAGGGGGGTTTAGACTCATTTGGTCTGGGACTGGGAAGTTGGAGTATTATCTCCTTCTTTGGGACCTTGTAATATGTTTTCCGTCATTAATGGAGGTTTACTGTTTTCTGTGAATTGTTTTCCCTTAAACTGTGATTGTTATTCGTGTGGAGTTCTAACAGATTAGGACGGGGAGAGATGAGGCCCTCTCGAACTTGCCTCAACTGTATTGTTACTTTCCCGTTTCTTCAATTTCAGTTTCATATTCAACAATTCAACCTCAGATTTCTGTGTTCCTATCAATGGTATCAGAGCAATTAGCTCCTGGCGATCAGAATTGAAGTGCGACTACTGCAGAGCACTTGTTCTGGTGATCGGAAACTGTGTAGCATCGCCGGAAATTTGTTCCGTTTGAGTTGTGGGAGGTCTGGATGAGAGCCAAAGATGAACGAACAGACTAGAAGACGATCGTGGTTGCCAACAACCTCTCTTAGTTCGCAATCTGTATCGCGATCTATTTCTCACGTTTCATCATCGCAAGTCGTCCCTAACAGTAATCCGCAGAAGTACTCGCAATCGCAGAGATTGACGCTCACATATCATTCCGGTTCACAATCGCGAACTTCATCTTCCCGTTCGCAGACTTCGTCTCTAGCTTCGCTCAGTTCGCCGTCACCAACAACGTCATCTCCCAATTCATTGCGAACTGTTTCTACTCGCAGATCTTCATCTCCCTTGCAATCAGCTTCTCAACGAGCCAACTCTCCAAATCAACGAACAAAGGATTCTGAGCGTCTACCTGCGTCATAAGGTAATTATCATCACTCTCGTTCTAGTATGGGTTGGGATAGCAGTAGAAGAGATATTCATATAGGAAGTAAAGTTGAATTGCCGTGGTTTAATGGAGATAAAGTAGACAAATGGATAGTTAAGATGGAAGAATACTTCCGACTCAAAGTTACTGCGGAGGAAAGGAAAGTTGAAATAGCAGAAGGAGCTATGGAGGCAGAGGCGTTTGACTGGTTTCTATGGTGGCAATTTGAGACGAGGGAAGATAGTTGGAATGCTTTGAAGGAATCCATAACTAGGCACTTCCAGCCTACACGCAGTCGGAAGACAGACAACCAGTATACGCGATCACCTAGAATTTCTCTCAAGTCACAGGTTTCTTCTCATTCTCAAGCTGCAGCTCACTGTGTGCTAGCTCCAGCGCCAGCAGATTCTCACACTTCTCAAGCATCACCGCTCTGTTTGGAGTCTGTTAACCTACTGCAGCCTTCCTGTGATGATAGGAGTGCTTCGTGACTCCGAGAAAATGCAGAGAAGTTCCATGAGA